ATCCACTCATTCAAATTTGTGGAGTGAAGAAGAGAAAAAAATGTTCCAGCTCAACTCAAAGGCTATCCATATTATATTTTGTGCTCTTTGACCAGATGAATACGAGAGAGTTTCATCTTGTACAACCACCAAGGAGATATGGGATAAACTACAAGTCACTCATGAAGGCACAAACGAGATAAAAGAATCTAAAATTAATCTTCTCACTCATAGCTATGAAAATTTCAGGATGAAAACGGATGAAGATATCAAAGTTATGACAGATAGATTTTCTGTGATTGTCAATGGTCTCAAGTCATATAGAGAGATCATTCGAAATGAGAAGCTTGTGAGGAAGTTAATATATTCTCTTCCTAAAGCTTGGCAATCGAAGAAGACGACGATCATCGAAGCTAAAAACCTAAAGTCTTTAACTCTCAATGAACTCATCGGTTCTCCCTTCACGTATGAAATGATGATTCAAGATGAGGTAGACCTCGAGAAGAAGGATTAAACAAAGAATGAGACGGAGAAGAAGAACGTTGGAGTTTCTCTCAAATCCACAAAAGTTGAGAGTGATTTTGATGATGCCGATGATGATGAAGAAATTACATTATTTGCCAAACTGTTCAGAAAATTAATGAAACCCAACAGAGGAAGAAAATTCAAAAGAAATGAAGGCTTCAAAAATGAACCAAAGGAGAAGGACCCGATCATTTGCATGTTTCAATGAATTTAAATTATATCAAATGGATGTTAAAAGTGCCTTTTAAATGGTTTTATAAAAAAATAAATGTATGTGGAACAACCTCCTGGTTTTGAAGATTCAAAATTTCCAAATCATGTTTTTAAATTGACAAAAGCTTTATATGGTTTAAAACAAGCTCCTAGAGCTTGGTATGAAATATTGTCAAACTTTTTAATAGAAAAAGGTTTTTCAAAAGGGAAGGTTGACACTACATTGTTTTTAAAGCAAAAAGGTAAAGATTTATTAGTAGTTCAAATTTATGTTGATGATATAATATTTGGTTCTACTATTGATGCTCTTTGCCAAGAATTTTCTAAGCTAATGCAGAGTGAATTCGATATGAGCATGATGGGGGAGCTCTCATTTTTCTTGGGACTCCAAATCAAGCAAAGAAAATATGACATCTTCATCAATCAAGAAAAATACGTCAAGGATATGCTCAAAAAGTTGAAAATGGCAAACCCCAAGCCACTCCAATGAGCTCATCTACAAAACTTGATAAAGATGAAGGAGGTAAATTTGTAGCTGTTAAATTATATAGGTCTATGATTGACTCTTTGCTTTATCTAACCGCAAGTAGACCGACAGCAGGGATGATGCCCCCCTCAAACATGTTGCCATGGGCTAAGGCCCATCTGGCACATGAATTGGGTCAGTCTGCTTTTTTCTATTAATTTAGTGATCCCTTTATGACATCTTGAAATTGAATGATATGTTTATAATCTTACTAATAATTGAATGAAATTGAATTGCGATGTAATTTACCTAATAAGAAAATCATTAAAAATATTTCTTAACACATAGATTAATTGAGTGACTTGTTTGCAATTCTTTAAAATGGAATGATCTCTTTATAATCTTATTAATAACTAAGTGCAATATGATGTAATTTACCCAAATATTGTACTTGGTATTTTTTTCCCTCCCATGTCATTTTTTGTTTCAGAATTTTGGAATGCTTTCAAAATTAATCAAAGTTTATTTTCCCTCTACTAGTAATTTAAGTTTTGTTTTATGATATCAAAAAAACAATATTAAAGTTTTGTTTTATGATATCAAAAAACAATATTAAAGCTTTCCCTTTTATATTTTTAATCTATTAATTTTAGAATAAGTATGGCACTCACTGATTTTCAAATATATAACCTCTAAAAATAACAATAATTCCTTTAACATTGAGATAAATTAATGCATGCATTTGGAGTTAATTAAAAAGGGTTGATTTGGGGGTTCAAGATATTGAATGCAGGTAGCTAGCATTAGTAATGGAAACCATTACTACTTTTTAAAGCAATCTACTTAACAGTATCTTTATTCTTTATATCCATCATAAATGAACAATATGCCCTTACATTGCCAATGAACAATGAACAGAGTGAAAGTTTTCTCTTTAAATGTTAAAGTTTATCAAATAAAAGGATTAAATATTAAGCCTTTTTTTCTTTTTTCTTTTACAGAGAGAAATGCTCCTTCAAAACAAAGAAACATTAATTAATTTATTATACTTTATTTTTATACAGTGATTATTGGTGAGTTTGATATGTTTCAACAAAACAGAAAAACCAGTAGAGACCTTGGCTTTCACTTCTATTGTGATGCACATACACCCACTGTTACATGACCTCTAACCTATTGGGTTTTCCTCCATCCAATCACATGCATGCCAGTACAAAACCCAGAATTATTTTCCTTAGAATTTCATAAAATGTAGGAATCTTTTATAGGAGTCTGAACTTTGAAGATAGGGGAAAAAAGATGGAATGAATAGAAAACAAACGAGGAAAGAATAGAAAGAGAATGGAAACTGGCAGGGATAATATAAAAGGCATCTTGGAAAAGCACTGAAATTTAAACTTACAAAACGACAACCTTTTTCTCTCCTCTCACCACATTTTTTAATGCTGCACCTTGGGGTAATGGAAGGGAGGGGACAACAACATTGAGATTTGCATATAGTTTAATCCCTTAACTATTAATTACTGATGTATGAATTCATGATTAAATATTGACGGGGTGAAAAATTTGAATGCATATGGGAATAAATAAGGAATAATTAGGTTAAATATGAATAAAGTGAATAACTTTAGAGGGTTAATGAAAAGGAGTGCATGGTGTTGGTAAGGTCGGAGGGGATGGAGGGTTTGGCCTTGTGGGTGGAGTTTTGCCAGCCTTTACACTCCACGCCTAAGGAATCTTGGCTATTTTTCAAGCTCCGGGAACTGCGTTGGATATTGGCGTGCCTCCTTTCAAACACACTTCTTATGTTTTAGCTTTATTTGCATGCGCCTTCATATTAACCTACATATATTCACTCACACTGCTTGTTTTCTCAGTTCTCATCCCCAAGACCTAAAATTATGAGCTGATATTAATTCAGTGTTTAAATTGGTTTTCTTGTCATTTTCAGCCGGCTTCGAAAAGTAAATAGAAAAGACCAAAAGGTGGGACAATAAGTCCAAATGTGAGGTAATTAATTATTAATGATGATGATAATACACGTGTTGGGCGATTGAAATGAGACCGGAAGCCTGAATTGGGGGATGATGGAATGACACAATTTGACCAACTTCGAGCAGTGGAATGATGAATGCGTTGAAGGGGCAGAGAATTCAAGTGTCGTAAATGCACAACCTTTACCCGATAAATGCTTCTTTCTTTTCTTAATTCTTACTCTCGCACCTTCTTAATTATCATTGCCTTGCATCGTTGCCACGCCATCAATATGTTACCTAGCGCCCTTCAGAGCGATGAGTCCAAGATTATATAGTTGAGGATTCAATGTCGGCAGACATTAGCTAGGTTGATAATGGAATGACTGGTACTGGGAATGATGGTGTTAAGATGAATACCAGAAGTTCTGAAGGGACTGTGGTGGAAGAGACTCGTGGTTGGACAATAAAAGTGTATAGAAATGAAAGCAGGATTTTATGTTACACGAGTGAATTCTTGAAATTTCAGAGAATGTAAACTTTTAAAATATATGATAATTTAGTATTTTCAGAAGTGACTGTTAACATCCACTCCTCCTCGGTCCATTTTTGATTGTGCAGGGCAATGGGGTTTGATTCGCTGAAAAATTCATGTTGAATGTTACTCCGATAGGAGATAACACGGTGTACTTAGATGACGACGGATGAGAGGAAACTGAGTTTAATGAAGGAGTTGAATAGGTTAATCAACATATATTTCGGTTGACATGCTTAAAATTCTGGCCTGAATTTCGATCCAAAAGTAGTTTAGTCCTCTTTTAACCTTAACAAGCACACAACAATTCACCTTTCAATCTAGTTCACAAGCTGTTAATTTCATAACTAATTCATCAATCTCCAGCTTAAATCTTATTAACTAGAAGGAAAACTTAGCCATAAACGGAGGAGTAGGCCGGTTGCATTAAATGTTGGCCTACTTTCAGTAACTATCATATATACATACATACTGGCACTAAGCTGGATTTTCGGATGATTTTGAAGAAGAGGAAAACATTTATTTCCCAATGACTTTGCCCCATGACATTGAATGAAGAACAAAACATTAAACATAAACGGAGTATTTGGGTTTAGTTGGTGCTGTAAAATATCCATTGGGTTTAATATACTAATTGATTGAAGATGACAGGTGATGGTGTGAAAATCGCGAACCTTTATCATTGGTCCCAATATCCCTATCGTCCTTAACATCACATTCATATGTAGCCTTATTGGATGTGACCCTGTATATTCTCTGATTGAAATTTCTTGTGGATGCTGGCCATACTTTGCATATCTCCTTCAAAGGAGGTTTGCAATTTCATACAAACTCGTAAACTGATTACTGGTTTCGCCCTTTTAAGTCACTTGTATCTTCTACTTTTCTAAAAAACTTTTAGATTTTTCATCTAAAAAGGTAATATCATTTGAGAATCCTTCTTAATCATCTATAACGCACGCATATCCTGTAAACGTAACTGTTTGAATCCAAAATTTTTTAAAAAAATAATATTCCCTTTTACCATTAGGAGGTTTCTCTGAAATTAAAATTAACTAGGTTGAAGAGGATTTAATAAATATGAAATTGGATTGAAGAAGGATAATAGTTATACTTTTTGAAAAACAAGTTTGGTAATAGAGATGGAGAGGGTCCATTGGAAGTTTAATCACATACTTCAATTTGAGATCTATTGCATTCAAGCCCAAAACAATGAGCCCATATTTGAAAACGACACCGTTTCTGTACTCAGCCTCGTACCCTTACAAGTAATCATATGGAACCTTCCCACTTTAACCGTAAACAGTCTGTTCCGAGTTGACCCTCCTATTCCGCCACCACCTCCGCCCATGGGATCGACGAAAATAACAAATCCATCATCCCCACATTTCCTTCAACCCCTAATGACCATAGACGCCTCCATTTCAGTTTTCCTCCACACTTTCTTCAAACCTATCCTCCCAGCTTTCCTTCTCCTCCTCCTTGAATACTCCGCCGATTTCCGCTTTTCCTTCCCGGTTTCCCTCTCTCTCTTTCTAGCTTCCCCTTCCTATTCCTCTTTAGCAATCCCTCTCATCCTCGGCCACCTCCTGGATCTTGCTTTGATCGGCCTCATCAAACTGACCTTCCGCCGTGCCCGTCCTCATTACAACCCAAACATGTCCCCAGCTGTCCACGCCGACAACTTCTCTTTCCCAAGTGGCCACGCGTCACGGGTTCTATTTTTAGCTACTCTATTCCACCTTATTGTTCAACACAACGAGGATATAGTTTCGGATTCTATTCAACGGTGGATTAAATTTGAACCCGGTTTTGTTATGCTAGGCGTATGGGTTTGGGCTATAATTACTGCTACTTCAAGGGTTTTGCTTGGAAGGCATTTCTTTTTCGACGTTTTGGCCGGAGCCCTTGTTGGTGCGCTTGAAGGGATTGTTGCGTATCAATTCTTGAGGTTTTAGGAAGCATTCTCAAAGGTATGTAAATGGGTTTTGTTGCTAAAGCTTCTACCTTTTTGCACTGGGGAATTATTTGCTTTGATGTAATTGATATCATATTTGTTGATAAGTCAAATTCAAACTATGTATTTTAAGTTAATCGGTTATCACTTTAAGGATTGCTTTTTAAAAAAATTGTCGTGTACAATTTTTAAGCTTGAGAAATGTTTGCAATAGTCTCTTTGCTGTCATGAAGCTTTAGATTGCACATGGTTATATTCGTCAGTCAACTATATAAATGAATTTTAGCATCCTTTATTACCATTATCACATGTTGAAAGTATTTTAGCTATTGATTGGATGAGGGAGCTAATTCTTTTATGAACACAACATGGTTTGTTGTTAATTGATGAAGTTACTGGCATAATTCCTTCTGTATATTAACCTAATCATGATTAGCTCTATAAAATCAGTGACCTCCTTTCGAAGGAGAAGTTGTCATATCAACCATTATAAATCACAATTCGAGTTATAAATGTGTTTGCCATCATCATCATTATTTCACTCACGAAGGGTTTGATTGTAAGGATGTTTAATCAGTTGGTATGTATTTCCTTCTTAGATACTTTGGTTAAAAATGCAGATTTTATGCCTTGGTAACTTGGGATCTAGTTACACATGATTATCTGTCCCTTTTAGATCATTTCATCACCGTAAAGGATTTATGCATGCAGGAATGTGTTTGATCAATATTTCAGTTGCTATGTCCTTCTCTAGGTGCATTTTTTTACTTAAAGTAGATTATCTTAGTTTCAACATTTAAGTGGAAGTTCTCTTCCTTTTTGAATTATTAACAATTCTTCAAAACAATTGCATGAGTTTCCCTGTTTCCTTCATTAACATAGTCATTAAAGATTTCAAATGTAAGTTCTCTTTTCTTTTATCTGTTTGTGTTACCTCTCTTTTAAAACCGTGTAAAAGTCTTCCATCAAAAGAGTTATATTTGTTCAGTTTAATGATGGATAGTTTTGGATGGTAGTGTTAAACGGAATTTAATGTTCTGTTTTCCTAGTCCTTCCCTACATGTGCGTGTTGTTTCAATAATTTTAATCCCTTTTGATTGATCCACAGTGATTTGTTGTAATACCTCAAAAATTTCGGTTAGTGACCAAAATGAATATTATTAGGTTCGGTATGATGTTTGAAACTACTCAAACTAGACTTAGATGGTTTGAAATTATATTTTATATGTTTTTGTTATTATTATATTGTCAATGGTTTTAAAGAAAAAAAAATTAGTGAAATTGGATAAGGAATGTTTTCAAAAATTTCTTGTGACATCACTGACTCGTGTTCGGTAACAGATACGGGAAGGGGTTGTTACATTTAATGGTATAAAATTAACATATAAAAAATTGTCCCTGGTTATTTCCTGGTGAAAACTTTATAGAATTGATCTTTGGGGTTTAACTGGGCTACAGGTAGTGAGAGTAAGAATCCTTAGGAACTTGGTAATTCTATTTCTGTTCATTTGTGCAAATGGACATGTAGAAGTTACTCATTGGCCTTAGAAACTTGGTAACATATTCCTTTCCAAAAGAACTTTGTGTCATTTCCTTTTATAGAATCACTTATTAGACTACTGAATGTTTAAATCCATCTGTCTCTTAGCCCATCATTTCAAGTGCTAGGCTGTGTTCTTCCAAGCCACACTTACCTTTCTGTTGATCTCATGATATCAGATGCCTTTATTATAATTTTTTGGCTTAGGAGTGACAACCGAAGGAAATATCTTTTTTTTTTTGCCACATATTGCTTTTTTAATTATCCTTCTCGCATATTGTTCAACTTTTATGGCAATTTCTTTGTACACATGCAGAATCACTTTACTCTGATGACGTTTCTGTGATGCCTTATTTTATCGAATTCCTTTAACCAAATCAGCTGAAGAAATTACGAGAGAGTTTTTCATTGGATCACTCAATAATGTTCTCTTCTACTGTATATGTCTAACATAAGTATGTTTAACAATGCAAGCGGGGATGATACCTTCTCTCTCTGTTTTCTTAAGCTTCTGTAATCAACTTTCCCTTCAGACATGATAAACTTCTCATATTATGATTCTTAGAGACCGTCACTGCAAAATTAAGAATTCACAAGATGAATCTCTATCTTGGAAATTTGGTTTTGGTGAAAGTTTAAGGATTTTGAAGTGTAATTTCTAGCATATGCTTCTCCCCCGCCTTTACTTTGTAGATGGATTAAAAGAATCAAACACGACTTGAATGCATCATGATCTCTGGATGTTAAAATATTGGCCTTTTCTGTTTCATTATTCTTAATGTATATGATTGCATTATTAGAATGTAACAAGGTTGATTTGTTCATCCCCCCCCCCTTCCCCCAAAATGATATATTGATCTGTTACACAGCTGACACTTTCATTTTTACAGAATTATGATTAGCGACTTGTTTTTATCTTATGGTTATTTAATTTTGTCTTTAGTGAGGAATTGTTGTATAAATAAGACATTCCCCCTGTATTGAGGTCAGGTTTTTTCATCAATACAAAATGTCTTTTTATATTTAAATGTGATGTCAGCTCTACATATTTATGATGAAATGAATTATGACTAAGGCCTAAATATTATTTTAGCAAAGAAAATTGTGGTAAAGCATCATCTCGCAATCAATAACTTGAAACATTTCCTTCTGATAAACTCAGGACATGATAAGAATATATTATGAAAAAAAAAGGTCCAAATATGATAAGCACAGGAAACTGCATTGTTTTTATTAATTTATTTTGCATCTCTGTCTCAAGATCTACACTAAGATTATGATTAAATACAGGAAAACTGATATTGATACACCAGCACAAACGACACTGGTCCTTAAATTATTATGGGTTCCACAGCACTATTAGAATGAGAAAGAATGAAAGAGATATTGGTCTTATCTGCATGATATTTTTTTTAAGTTTTCTTGATGTGGGATAATTATTGGTCCTTAAATTATTTGGATCAATCCTGAATTAATGTTGAATGTGCTGAAGTGGTCGTCATACTTAAAAATCATCTCCATCCGACGAGTGATTTTTGAAATCAAAGGATAAAATTTCAAATATATTTTGTCAGATGTACCGAAAACCGGATTTTCTCAATTAATTTTATTTACCTGTTAGACACCCTTTTATCTTTATTTATCGATCTAACACTTTTTTGAAAAAAGACGGTAAGCTATGTGGCAGAAGGCATGGCCCATACACTGTGTCTTGTAAAATGTGTAAAAAATAAGTGTTATTTTTATAAATATTTTTAAAATGATGCCTAATATGCAATTCATTTATGTTAGGGTAATATTTGTGTAAAAATACCAACTTTATTTATTTATTTTTATGTGATTATTTTTAACAGCAATTAATAATGTTTTTTGACTTTTAAAATTAATTGTTTAAAAATATTAAAATATTAAAATAAACTCTTAAATAAATTATTATTCATTTTTTTTAAAAATCAATAAAAATGCAATAAAAATAAAAAATGAATAAAATTCAATAAAAATATAATGTAAAGCTAAAAAATATCACATCTTAATTTCAAATATTCTTTCTAATATTAATTTTAAAAAATATAAAATAAATATTAAATTCTAATTTTATTAAATATGAATAAACATAATTAATTGTTGTTAAAAAATAATAATTAATAAATAATAATTCATTTGATACCTCAATTGTAATTAAAAATTTATGAAAATACTTTTAAACAATTAATTTTAAAATACTCCATTCTCAAGACAACTTAAGTTTATGATTGTTAAACAGTAATAGGTGTGGAAAGCTACAGGAATCGAATAAAAATTCGATCGTACAAAGTCAATAACTCAAAATCGTCTAACTGCTGTCTGAATATCAACTCAATTGTACCATGAATAAACCTCCGATCAAAGAGTTGATCTTTTCTGCTCAAGCTTCACAAAAACTGTTGTCTCATCATTTTCTCCCTCGTATGAGCTCCTTTCTTTTTCAATTCTTTTATGTTGAATATAATTGCCCACGCACACTCAGAAAAACCAAAAGTATAGTGGCTTTTATTGCAAAAGTTAATTGTAATTAAAAGTTTAGTTAATATTTTTTTTATATTTTTAAACAATTAATTTTAAAAGTTAATAAAAAATTTAAAAATATATGAAATTTATAATTTTTAAATTATAAAATATTTATTATCATCATCATTTTGTAAAATAAATATTAGTTATAAATTTTTTATAAAATTATTCATATTTTAAAATATTTACCCTCAAAGTTTTCCTATACTAGATGATACGTATTATGTAATTTCATGCAAAAATCAAAATTTTTAGAGTTATAAAATAATTTGCAAAAGAATATTTAAAGATTTTAATGTAGAAAGTTTTTTTTCCGAACACAAAAAAAAAATAAATAAATAAAATTGATGTTTTTACAAAAATATCACCTTAATATAAATTAATTATATATTAAGCATCATTGTAAAAATATTTATAAAAATAACATCATTTTTTACGTTTTTCAAGACGCGGTGCATGAGCAGTGCCTTACCCCACGTGACACCACATTGTAAGGCGCGGTATATAGGCTGCAACTTCGTGCAAAGGGTGTTAGATCGGTAAATAAAGATGAAAGAATGTCTGACAAATAAATAAAGTTGATCAAGCTTATTTTTGGAAAAAATCTCCACCGACCGAGATTTTAAGAAAAATAATGTTACTTTTAGGGTTCTCCTTCTAAAATGGTGTTGTTTTCAGCGTGAATAGTTTAACTCGATCCAACCCACTTAGAATTAATTGCCCATTATTCTTATCACTTCTATATTCTTTGTATTTTAGTCCCAGTTTTGTATAATTAATGATATTTTTACTCTATTTAATTTTTTTTTCAATTTAGTCCTAATATATTTATTTATTTAATTTTTTAGCATTTTATATTATTTTTATTATTATTATTTTAATATTATCACTATCATTTTTTCACTCTTTTAAAACACCACGTATTTCTATAAAAACAGTTTTTTTTAAGAAAAAGGGTAAAATACACCGTTCCTCATTGAATTATAATCGTACTTTCAATTTTTCTAATTTACTCACTGAATTTTCGAATTGCTCATGTTTTAATCACTATCAATTATTTTATTATTATTTTTGTATGACATGACATTTTATTATTATTATTTTATTTAAAATAATTGAAAATATAAAATTCAAATAGAAGGTGGCCGGACGCCACCATCGACCGCCATAAACGGTGGTCATTCGGTCCCAAATTTCATGGGTCTTGTTCATCTCGAACCCCTGAGTCCGAATCTGGTAGTTGTTTCACCAAAAAAAATGTCCCAAAACTCATAAATCTCGACTGAAACGTTTCAACTTCTTCACTTTCGATCTCCAATTCGAGGACTTCAAAGCATGATCTGAAAAAATGGAGGGCATATTCGGACTCAGGGTGTCGAGAAAAACAAGACCCATGAAATTTGGGACCGGACGACCACCATCTACGCGGGTCGACAGTGGCGTCCGACCAACATTTATTTTTATTTTATATTAAATAATAATAAAAAATGGCACGTCATACAGAAATAATAATATAGTGTGATCAAAACAGGAGCAATTCGAAAGTTCAGTGAGTAAATTAAAAAAATTGAAAGTATAGTAAATAAAATAGAAGAGAATGTATAATTCAGTGACGAATGGTGTAATTTACCCTTAAAAAGAAAAGGAAATTACGAGAATGGGTCTTGTTTGTATTACGATAATTAGCAAGGTGGTCCACTAGATTACTAAAATGTTATCTTGTTAATCATTAGTGACAGAAGATCATTTACAAAATTAAGTGGATATTCGTTTAAAAATATATTTTTTAAATCAAAAAATTGAAAAGGATATATCTCATCAATTAAATTTATATTCACCCAAGAGAGCATGAATAAAAATTAAATTCAAAATTTTAAATTTTGCTTTCAGTTGAACTTCGCTGTGTGTCAGACTCCTTTCTGCCTGAAGTGTCCAGAACCATGTTTATCATCCAGTGCATGTTTTCTTTTATCAGTTTGCTTTACTGTTATTTCCTTTCAATTTTGTATTTGGCTGGTCCTGTAACCAGGATATATATATATATATATATATATATATGTATTCCTTGAAATTCTTCTTTTTCCTTCACCATATCCATTTTGTTAAAGGAATTTCAAACTTATTTGAACGTCCAAAAAGGGACTTATATTACAAAGTTAATTAAAGAGACTTGGTCCACTCCCCAAGACATCTCGATTCATACTAATGGAAGGTAGCTTCTGCTTCTTCTAATTCTATCCCTTCATTGGCAAGTCTCTTGTCCTTGTACACGTACCACTTTGCAAAAACCAAGTAAACTGCCAAGTTCAAACAGCTCAGAACTACCAAAAGCCAGTAGAAATCATAGAGCCTCCCTTTGTTCAGGTTGTCTGGGAGCCATGGATGCTTGGTTCCAATCACCTTGTGAACTATAGTAACCAACAAAGAACTTACGAAAACCCTAAAGAAAGGGTACTCAAAAACAGACCCGTGCTCATTGTTTTCATCCCTTTAGGGCACTCCCTTAAGAAAAAGTCGAGCTGCCCTATATATGTAAAGGCCTCCCCAGCACCCACTAGCAAAAACTGGGGGACCAGCCAGAAGACGCTCATTGGGATTTGAGCTGATTGGTTATTCGTTAGACCATGTGAGCTTGCGGACCTCAATCGCTTGATTTCGGTCAATGCAGCTGCTATCATTGCGATAATGGATAAAACTAAACCAACACCGATCCTTTGCAAAGGGGTTAAACCCTGTGGGTTTTTAAGAACCTTTTTTGCAATCGGAGCTATGATTCTGTCGTAAATTGGGACGGTCAAGAGAATGCTACCGACGAAGAAAACCGTGAGTGATGCTGGTGGGATTTGAAAACTTCCAATGTGACGGTCCATGGTTGTGGCTTGAGATACTGAAAAGGTTGTCATTTGGGCATAAACGGTCCAAAAGATGACCGTGGTTGCCCAAATGGGTAACATTCTTAGCACCAATTTCACTTCTTCCACATCGGTTAAGGTAGCTAAGTTCCACTTGTTTGTCTCGGGAACAGATGGGTCCTTGATAGCTGCCCTGTCCAAGAAACTGCACAAAATTTCAAGAAATCGGCCAATAAGGGGAAAAATAAAAAATAAAACTCATTCTTAACATTTAAATTATGGCCAGCCGACATTAATCACCCTTTCACAACTCAACCCAAACACGTTTCTAAAATTGCGACTTCTAGGTCCAATTATTATTATGTTTACTGTTATTGTTTCCTTTGATGTTTGAATTTTTTATTTCATTTTTTTAGGTTATTTCATTTTGATTAGTTGGACCAATACAGAATCCAAAAGTAGGTGTTAAAAAAGATATGGTT